TCTCTCTCTCTCTCTCTCTCTCTCTCTCTCTCTCTCTCTCTCTCTCTGTGTGTGTGTGTGTGTGTGTCTCTCTCTCTCTCTGTCTCTCTGTCTCTCATGCAGACACACACACTCACAGACGCAGACAGTGGGAGAACCTTTGGGGCCAGACTCCTTGCTCATGGAAAATATGATTTTAGCCCTAGGGATCCCTAGGAGGCTCAGCCAGATGCTGAAAAAGCAAAGAAGGAGACAGGAAGAGTGAGCAGATGGAGAGGGGGGTGGTGGGAGGAGTTGAACAGAGAGGTAGAAGATCCAGTAGTCTCTCCCCCCCACCCCCTGAGTTGCCTGCCTCAGACCTCCCTGCAGGGCCCAAGGGGACCCCCCTGCCATCTGGGCAGCTGCAGCTGGTGATTCATCATGGTGACCTGGGTGGGGAGAGGAACAAGCCAAGAACTTCAAGAGGAATATGTTCCCAGAGAGATCCAGTGGAGTGGGATGGGGGTGTGTGTGTTCATATTCCTTCCTGCCCTGAGACTCAGCAGTGCAGTGGAGACTCCCGGTGGAGTAGGAAGCAGGTGAAGATGCTGGAGGAGTGTAAACCTCTGTCCTAATGCCGACCTCTGCCTTTCTTGGCCCTACAGACAAGGATGAGAGCGAGCATCCCAACAACAGCTTCAACCCGTGCAACGCCCACGATCACAGGTGCATACAGAGGTATATGGCCAAAATGAGAGATCGGAGCAAGATGAAGGTCGTGGGGACACCTCGGGAGGAACCCCGTCCTGTGGTGAGCACCTCTGACCCACAGATGTGTATGCTTATAGATAGCTCACAATTACTACACCTGGGCTATGTTCACCCAGCGAACATTGAGGCTCCCTGTGTGTAACATGACCTCATCGGAACCCCGGGAGAATCCTAAGTTCTCTCTTTGCAATTCCTTTTTCCCTTTGCACATGAATATTGATACAGCAAGCTGACTGGTAAAAGCAAGGCCCAAGCTCCCTAGTGTTTCTTGTTCCTTTTTGTTTGTTTGTTTGTTTGGTTTAGTTTTTCGAGACAGGGGTTTCTCTGTGTAGCCCTGGCTGTCCTGGAACTCGCTCTGTAGACCAGGCTGGCCTTGAATTGAGAGGTAGGATTGCCTCTGCCTCCCAAGTGCTGGGATCCAGGGCACACACCACCACAGCCTGTTTTTGTTTAATGGTTTATTTATTGTAAGACAGGGTTCCCCATGCCAGGCAGTGGTGGCTCACACCTTTAGTCCCAGCACTTGGGAGGCAGAGGCAGGGGGATTTCTGAATTCAAGGCCAACTTGATCTACAGTGTGAGTTCCAGGACACCCAGGACTACACAGAGAAACCCTGTCTCGAAAAACAAAAACAAAAACAAAAGACAGGGTTTCCCTTTGCAGCCCATGCTGGCCTAGAATTTCCTAAATATACCAGGCTAGCCTTGAACTTGCAACAACTTTCCCGCTTCTGCTTCCAGAGGACAGGCATTGCAGATATGTCCCCCTACCCCCTGCTTCTTTAAGAGTGCTTAGTGTCAAAACCTTCTCCTCAGTATCCACTGTTGGTACCCGAGTCACTGTTGGATTCTGGTTTTGCTTCTTGAGCCCCTGCCCAGAGCTCAGGCCTTGACCCTTTGTTCAGGACATTAGCCCCTTTAGCTCAGAGCCCCAGCCTGATCTTCCTGCCTTTCTCATCTGCTGAGCTTTTTTTGCTCTTCTGATCCTAGCCCCAGGGTTCCTGCCAGAGCGAGTTGCACCGGGCCCTGGAGCGTCTGGCCGCCTCGCAGAGCCGTACTCATGAAGACCTCTTCATCATCCCCATCCCGAACTGTGACCGCAATGGCAACTTCCACCCCAAACAGGTGGGTCTCCTTCCTGCTGCTCCACCCTGGCCTCAGCCTGGGAACTCCTAGCTCTCCAAAGGATGCTTTCAAAGGAAGGGAAGCTCTCCAAATCCAACCCAACCATTTGGGTCTCCCTAAGCTCTGTTCTACTCTCAGCATGGTCTGTCCACCTCGTTTCTTTTGGAGATGAGAGACAGACTCAGAAAGGACCCTGGCCAGCTCACGCCACAGAGTGAGTTCCTGGCACAACTTGATTCCTTCCAGGGCCCTTTGCAGTTCTCAGGATCCCCCCATCGATGGTGTAGACCCTACTCCTCCTTTCCTCAAAGCGGTGCTCCCTGTCTCTGACCATCCAAAGCTTCATCTGGGTTGTGGGATCCCAAGTTATGAGAAGTCAAGGAGAAAACCTCATCCTTCTGTAGCTGAGCTCAGACTCTCCGGGTACAGTAAAGAAGGAGGTAGAGCCGAGTCTGGTAGCTGAGACTGTCACGTGGAAAAAGGGGTCAGGAGAGAAGGCAGCAGGTAGCACATCCCACTCACTCACTCATTCAGACCGTCCAGCATGCTGGCTGGAGTATACAGCAGGAGCAGCCTGTTCCATCTCATCTCTGGCCCATTGGGAGGGCGGCAGATCCAGTGAGGGTACTGGAGTTGGAGCGCCTTGTGCTGAATGTGGCCTGGGGAGCCTTGTCCTGCTTCTCCTCTAGGTTACATGAGCATAGGGAATGTTGTCCTCCCACTGTGGACAAATCCCCTTAGTGAGCTGCTACCCAAGCAGCAGAGGCCTCATCAGGAGGATGACACAACTGTCCTTGGTCTGTACAGGGCAAGATGAAGGTGTGGAGTATGTGCAGTCAGTGAAGGGTCAGAGGAGGCTCCTTAGAACCAGCCTGGCCTATCTTCAGCCTATACCCAACACAAATTCCATGTCTCAGTTCTTTTTCTTTTCTTCTTTCTTTCTTTCTTTCTTTCTTTCTTTCTTTCTTCCTTCCTTCCTTCCTTCCTTCCTTCCTTCCTTCCTTCCTTTCTTTCTTTCTTTCTTTCTTTCTTTCTTTCTTTCTTTCTTTCTCTTTTTTGTTTTTTGTTTTTTTTGAGACAGGGTTTCTCTGTTTAGCTCTGACTGTCCTGGAACTCACTCTGTAGACCAGGCTGGCCTCGAACTCAGAAATCTGCCTGCCTCTGCATCCTAAGTGCTGGGATTAAAGCTGTGCACCACCACTGCCCAGCCATGTCTCAGTCCTTAATACCCCTCGCCCTTAATGAAACAAAACCAGAAGACCAGACCATTGGGTTTGTGGAGAAAGTGCAGAATGGTTGTATCCCATGCTTGCATTTCAGCTTTATTTCATTACTCAAGCCAAATGGAGTGGATTTGATTCAGTTGATTATTGACTAAAGCCCAGCATTTATACCAGGATTCATTTTTCCTGTTATATAATGCTACATGTATTTTTTACTCCTAATTTTTTTTTATCTTGCCTCTAGTTTATTTGTAAAAACAGCATAGGACACTGGTCATTTGCAAATAGTGTGTGGGTAGGTGTGTCACGGCAGTCCATCTGTCTTCACGTTGGCAGGAGCCTTTTCTATGGGGCCTTCACAGGGGCCTGGGCACCTTTGGGAGCCTGGGCTGGAGCTGCAGCCTGGGCCTTAGCTGGAGCTTTGGCCTCTGCCTTGGTTTGAACCTTGGGCTTTGGTTGGCAGAGCCTAAGACGCTTGGCCATGTAGCTTCGAATCTGCTTCCCAAGCTTGGGGTGAGCGATGAAAGCCATGTGGCTGAGTTTGCGGCTGGGGCCCTTCGGCATCTTGGGCTTGATGGCCTGAGGCTTCACAAGGGCCTTGATGGCCTCTGCGCGTGCACTCACTGCCTTTGCATTGTTGGCCTGCGTCTTTCTCAGGCCTTTCTTGTTGTGCTTCTTGGCAAAGCACATGTTCCTCAGGAACTGTGGGTCAAACCCCTTAAGAGATCTGAATCTTTGTGACTGGGGTTTCTTGATACCATTTCTGTGCTGTTTGCAGGACTGGTTGTATGTGGTGTGGTTCTTGGACTTGGCCATGTCTGCACAGTAACCCACAGCTCCTGCAGCTCCTGTGACCAGAAGCTACCCTTAATTTTTATCACAACAAAAACTATGACACTTGCTGGGCAGGCGTGGTGGCACATGCCTTTAGTCCTAGCGCTTGGGAGGCAGAGGCAGGTGGATCTCTGTGAGTTTGAGGTCAAGCTTGGTCTACAGAGCAAGTTCAGGATAGCCAGGACTGCACAGAGAAACCTTGCCTGGAAAAAAAAAATCAAAAACCAAACCAAACAAACAGAGACTATGACCCTTGACCCTTTATCTCAAAACAAATTCTGAGTCTTGAGCCAGCCTTCCTTCTGACGTTGAGTCTGGCTTTGAAATACACTTTTGTGTTCTACCCATGCCCACCCCCTGGTCTAATTCTGACCTAAATTTTAGCCTGACCTCAGTTCTTCTGACCTTGACTTTTGTCCTTATTCTGATTTAAGGTTCTTGCAAAAATCCTCCTGCCTCTGCTTCCTAAGTACCAGGGTTACAGGCATTGTGCCACCACATCTGATCCAACGGCTTCTGACTTGGGCTCTCAATGTGAGCTGGCTTGTGTTTTAACCATATTCCTAACTCATCTTCATCTGTGGTCCTGATGCTGCCTTTGTTCTCAAGTTGTAACCCCATGCTTCAAGTCAAGTCCCAGTCCAGTCACAACAAGCTGAGACATTGCCAATGAACCCAACCTTTACAACCATCTATGCCTTTCAGTATAAGAAACCCTTCTCGGGTCCTCCCTCTGGAAGCTCCGTAGGTCTCTCCTTGGACAAGTCTCCCTATTACAGTGAGCTCTGGGGATTGGTGCGCAAAAAGAGCCTTTGCCTTCAGATATCATCTTGAAGGAGCAACTGTCTGACCTGGGAGCTAGGCTGGAGGTGGTGTGGACTACCTGGGCTCTTTGTCTGGGACCTGAACTCATACGCTTTGTCTTGGCAGTGTCACCCCGCCCTGGATGGACAGCGCGGCAAGTGCTGGTGTGTGGATCGGAAGACAGGGGTGAAGCTTCCAGGGGGCTTGGAACCCAAGGGGGAGCTGGACTGCCACCAACTGGCTGACAACTTCCAAGAGTGAGACCTGTCAGCAAGTGGGGGACTTAGTGCCCCCTACTAGGCCCCTATGCTCTGGGGGTTGTAGAGTTAACCTGGCATGGAGTCTTGGTCTGAGTCCTGGCTCTTTGCCTCTGGCCCTGCCCAAAGTTTCCCTTGATGTGTGTGTGTGTGTGTGTGTGTGTGTGTGTGTGTGTGTGTGTGTGTGTGTGTGT